TACAAAGCCACTGGAGTGCAACAATCTCAGTTCACCATCAGATAAGAATGGGAAAGCATGCTAGCAACTTTCATGAAAGAATTATTGTGATCCCAGCTGACATTATTACCGGACAAGTCCGATCCCACCCTGAAATCTGGCTTTGTAGTATTTTTTAATTAAAGTTGTTCTTACACTGAAGCACATGCATGCAATGCTGCAGGTCTGCAATGCTACAGAAAATCAAAAGTTTATTATGCAAAATAAAATAGAATAAACCAGGCTGTGTTTTATACAAAACAATTTGAAAGAATTTGGAAGATTTGGAAGCATACAGCAAAATACAATATTCCATCTATGCAATAGTAAACCTTTACAATACTTGAACACCAGAAAGAATCCCTTCTAGATTTAACTTAGCTGTTTGTTTCAATTCCCAGTCTTGAGAATTTGATAGGCTCTTCCTTGATTGTTTACACAACTTAACTTGGACTTTCTCAACTTCGAATAACCCTTTCAGGGTTCTAACCAAATACCTGTTGGTCTGGAACTTTCAAACTAAATCCTAAAACTGAGGTAACCTACTTCTAACTGTTCTGAACCAACTATTTTTTTTCCAGGAGAACTTTTCCGTGCATCCAGCTTTTAATCAGGATGTCTGTAAACTGAAAGCGAAAAGTTTCCAAGTGTCCCCCAATCAGAACAAAATCCGTCCCTGATCCTTCTAACAGAAGCCTAATGTTCTTCAGTGTTTACTCTGTCTCTTCATAAAACTCTTAGAATGCAAAGAAATCCCCACTAGCACTTTAAGAACTATCTCTCTCATAATAGTTTTGAAAGCCCTGGTTCCAGAAATATTGGCAGGTTAATCAGTAAACCTGCTCATACACAATGACAGAAACCCACATGACTTGTTCAAAATCAAAACTCTAAAACAATTGATGTTAAAATGTATATACAAGTCATGCACCTTGCATTGTAGAATAACTACAAGAAAAATACTGTCCATTCTTCCAACCAAAATTAATCATTTCACACTACGTCTGTGCATTAGGTTTAATCTTACCTGCCCATTCCACCAAACTGTTTTTTGAAGTTCTACATCATCTGTTTTGCTGTTCACAACACTTCCAACTTTTGTATTGTTTGTGAATTTTGAAATGGCATTCTTTACACCAAGGTCAAGATCATGACTGTATTATCAAGAAGAATAAAGATCCTAACACCAAAACCTAGGGAGCTCCAATGTAAAATATCTCCACTTCAAAAAGCAACTGTTCACTACTGCTCTGCAGTTCTGTCACACAGCTAATTTCATATCCATGTTGTTATTGTCCCTTTTATTCTATGAATTCAAACATTTTTTCAAATTGCTGTCTGGAGTGCAGCAGCTTATCAAATGATTTTTTGACGTCCAAGTTCACCACATAAACAGTGTTACCCTCCTCAACCTCATCCATTAAGTCATCACTAAACATCGAATTAGGATTTGTTTAACAAATCCATGCTGGTTCTTCTAAATTAACCAATGTTTCTCCAGTAACTATTCATTTTGCCTTGAGAAATGAACTGAGAATGTGCCTTCAGGTCACTTTTACACTTGCATATATAGGCCATAATTTCAAAGTTTGCAGATGATCCCAAACTCAAATGTTGTCAACAGTCAGGAGGATAGTAATAGGGTTGTGAACGATATAATTTATCACCATTGACTATGTAGTGTTCTATATTGGTAGGCAGATAAGGCAAGGAAACACTATCTAAAGACATACAATTTTAATGGAATGGAGAAACGGAGTAACCTGGAGGTAAAATATTACAAATTTTTGAAAATCCTGAGACAAGTTAAGAATGTTGGTAGAAAGGATCCTCTGTCTTAGAAGTAGAGGCACAGTACACAAAAGCAAGAAAGTTACGGTAAAACTTTACTTAAAAATGACTGCATAAGCAGTCAGTTGGAGATGTGCAACCAATTCTGACCACAGCAGTTTAGGAAGCATGTCAATGGATTGGAATCCAGAGGAGATTCACTGAAGTAATAATGGGGTATGAAAAGCTTCTGTTGCATGATGAAAGGAGATAAAATTCTTCTTGGACATTTGGTAGAGGTGTTCAAAATTATAAACAGTTTGAAGAGTAAATAAGCAGAAACTAGGTAATTCGTGAAAAAATTGGAGGTGATATGAAACTTTCTTTTGTATATAATGAATTTTGATCTGGGATACAATGATTTTGCATGTTGGTTCAATAATTTTCAAAAGGAATTAGGTATGTACTTAGGAGAACAAAATGACTATCAGCACAGATAAATGTCGGGTGGTGTAAATTGACATGAGGACTAAGAAAGCGAGTTTGCTGTATGGGTGACATGAGTCTAAGAGGTAGATGTGGACAAGAATTTAAGATTACAGGTTCACAGGATTATGGATTAATATAATCATAAAAAATGAAATCAAAACACAAGAATTCATGCCTAAAGGAATAGGATCGAAAAGCAGAAATGTTTTAAATTTGAATAGAATTGAATTTAATTTGAGACAGTAGGAACTGCAGATGCTGGAGAATCTGAGATAACACTGTGTAGAGCTGGATGAA